AATAAAGATACATTTTTCTTCTGAAACGCTCGATTCTGAGCACAGATGGATGTTTCTGGAGATCTCATGTTTCGAAAACATGCAGCCGGTTGTTATGCAGGTTTGACAAAGACGTTCAGTGTGCGGCTTCATAATTACATTAACATTAACATTCATGCATTTGGCAGACGCCTTTATCCAAAGTGACTTACACTGCAAATGTTTTTTTAATCAGATCATGCATTTCCTGGAAATTGAACCCATGACCTTGGTGTTGCTAGCACTTTCTCTACTATTTGTGTTACATGAATACATGAATATTTTATCAGTATAATTCACAATTTCTCTTCAATTAAATCAGGTGTTACTGCTAAACATAGACTTTTTAAAAACTTTATTTTGTAGATAATTTCAGTGTGTTGTTGTTGTTTTTGTAAACATTCCATATTGACTTTAACAATCTAATCAATGTATTTTACAAGAAAAACTGCACGGCAAAAATTGGTTCTTCATTTGGATAAAGAAAATCAAGTTCAGAAACTTTCAAAATGTTGCTTACTACAATATAATGTAATGTTAATTGGTGAATATGACAGGAGCATCACGTGGAGAGCGAGTCTCACCTTCGTTAAAGCTCATGGAGCTAAATGTTTGGGACTTTTCCACCAGGCATTATGGGAAAGTTTCCGAGCGTTTCTCATCCATCATGATTCATGAAACAAAAAGTACAGCATTAGACCATCAAATCAATCCCTTTCGTCTTATTGGAGTCTCATTTCTCGGTGAGGATGACTTGTTTAAAATCTTTTTAGTTTTTCATTCTTAATGCAAATGTAATGTTCCTAAACACGTCACTGTCTCTTTAAATGAGGACGTACAGTTATGTATTTTAGTTAATTGTGTGTCCAGGTTGATGTTCTGAGTTTGTTCATGAATGTCGATGGCTCAGACCTTTCTGTTTTGTGCTACTGTAATGAACGATAAAGATATTATCGATAAAATCGTTTTCTTATGTAGATCATTTTTAAGCCATAATGTATGCGAGTATGCTAATCATTCAGTACTGTGTAGGACTATGTATAAAAGCACTATTTTGTCATATTCATGAACTAAAAGACCTGATTTATTGTTGCAATTGTTTCTGCTAGACTTGTTTCGCTTATTTCTTTAATTTTGCACATAACGTGCATTACTTAGTAGCAGTGTATTAATACTTTTAGTTATTAACATTTATTATTTTTATATTATTATTTGGTTACACTTTATTTTAAGGTGTTCTTGTTACAGTGTAATTATATATTTAAGTACTAAGTAATATTAACTACATGTACTTTATGGTTAGGGTTTGGTTTAGGGTTACTTGCATGTAATTTTGCATAATTAAGTGTTATTATAATAGTAAGTACATGTAACGTGTGACAAGGACACCTTAAAATAAATTTTTTTTTTTTACAGGCCAACATAATTTTATTATTTTTATTTTTTTTTATAATTATTAAAATTATTAAAATGTATATATTTTATGAATAGGAGTTTATTTTTATTTTTTTTAAACGGGCTGACAGGAAGTTGGGGGCGGGACTACTGGTTTGTTTAACCAGTGGCAGACAGGTGGAGTGTTTGAAACCTGTTTGAAAACAGTAATTATTTTCAAAAAATTTTTGTCAATGTTTTCATTATAAATGCAAATGTTTTACTCTTCAGTTTTTTAGTCATGTTGCTAAACGCTTCACATAAAGATACTATAATGTTTTTTTATGTTATACTTGAAAGTACATTGTTAATGCCATAATGCATATGAATATTCTAATCATTCAGTGCCATGGAGGACTGCATATGAAAGCATCATGGTAAAGTTGTGCTGTGGTTCTTTGTGAGAGTTAAAGTGGATTTTAAAATGTTTGCATGTGGATCAAACTTGAATTATGTCATTTGCATTTGTGGTTTACAGTGCACAGGATCGATGTTTAATGTGGTGATGAATTCATCAGATTTAGAGGAGCTCTTCAGGCTCAGACTGAGATGCAGATCCGTGTTTGAGGAACATTTTCCTGAATATCCCACACGTTCTCCATTTAAAGCGGCAGTGTGTGGTTTACACGAGGATGAGCGTGTGTTCAGATAGTTAGCGGTGTGTGAGCTTCACGTTCAGAGCCACTAAAGCTTGACGTTTTGACGACTGCTTGTGAACGACTGTCGATGGAGAAACACTTTTTACCAGCCAAACCTTGAGCCAGTGTTACTTCGGGTTCGTTGAGATACTATTATAGCTTTCATTAATGTCATAATTAGTTTTTATATTGTCAATTTTCATTCAAATTGTAATTGTTTTTGTCTTTCTATTAGTTTTTTTTTTGTCTATAGTTTTAAAAATGTTTGTTTAGTATTCATTTTTATTTCATTTAAGTTTTTTTTTATATATTTTAGTTAGTTTTTGTTAATTTTGGTAGCTTTTATTTTAGTATATCAAGTTTTTTTATAGCTTTTTATTTTAATGCATCAATTTTTATTAATTTTAGTTTCACCTTTTATTTTAGTACATCAAGTTTTTTTTATGAATTTTTGTTTGAGTTTAGTATGTTATTTTAGTACATCAAGTTAAACTAAATGAAAACAATATCCTTGGCAGCTAGCTAAATTAAAATAATTTTCAGTTATTGATCATTTAGTTTTAAGAAAGTTTTTTTTGTTTTTATTTTAGTTTCATGTAACTCTAATAACCCTGCTTTGACCCCATTGATTCTGACCTTTATTCTAATTTTTTTCTCTCTTCCAGGGCGGCTGTGTGGATTCGACCAATCAGAGTCTGGCTCTCTTGTACATGATGTTAGGCCAACAAGATGTGTCTAAAACACTGCTAGGACCCCTCTCACCCTACACGTGAGCACTCACATACACACACAATCGTGACGTGTTTTTCAAGCATCTGACATAACTATCACGTATTCAAGTAAACATAAATTACAAAAAATATCAAATGTCATTTCAAACTGCTTGTGACTTTTCCATGTGATGCAGAAAGACTTCCATCTTTACTTTTACTGTTAGCTTGTATGGGGTTAGATATCTGCCACAATTCTGCACGCGAAAGATCATATTTTGAGCGCACAAAAGTGCATTTAGCACGCACGCAATCTGAGTTTTGTGGAGAAAATATTCGTCTCGCAAAGAAGAAAGTATTTCGAGCGCACTAAAATAAATTTTGCATTTAAAATAAGCTTTTGAATGTGTGCAGACCTTCTCTTTTGCGCGTGCAATGTTTCACTAGCTTGCTCCCTTGATGCCTGCCCTCAGTGCTCGCTAAATGCCAAAGGCTCGCTTGCTCAACACAACCCAGCGTTACAATATGCCATAATTCCAGCCAATCAGAGACGAGGCTGCTAAATTCTGATTGGCTGCCTTGACAACCAATCACAACAAAAATGAAATTGTGGCAGAGATCTAATCCCATAAGCTTGGTGCCATTTGACGCGGATGCTCTTCCTTTTTTTTAATGCATATACAATTGTGGCATCCAGAACTGTCTTTTTCTCAGTGCTAATATTCCATCTGTCACGTTCCGTTTGTGTCTGTATCCAGCAGTTTTCTCTCTGCCGTCATGAATTGTCCATCTTCAGTTATCATGGTACCGGTGCTGTGTGCCTGTCAAGTACAGTACTATGATAACTGAAGATTGACGGTGCCAACACGTGTCTCACCTCCAGTGGACTCCAGCTTCATATGTGTGCAGGATATTGATGCTGAAAAATGCCTAAAAAATCTTCTCAATTTTGCCTTTTGATCAGTGTGTTTTTAGTAGCATTGAGATACTATTATAGTATTTATTAATAGTTTTAATTAATTTTTATATTTAATTTTTTTTAGTTTTAGTCATTTTATTGTTTTTGGCATTTTTAATTTTTTTTGTCTTTTTAGTGTTTTTTTTTTTTTTAGCTTTAGTTATTTTAGTACATCAAGTTAAACTAAATGAGAAATGCTTCCTTGGCAACTTACTGAAATATTTTTTTTTTTTTTTTTTTCAGTTAACATTTATTTTATTTAAAAAAAAAAAATTTTTATTTTAGTTAACTATATTAACCCCCCTTTTTGGTATTTTTATTAGAATTTTACATTATATTAATGCTGTTTTTAATGTGGTCTTGAATAATGCTGTTTTCTTTAGATCATAAGGATTGTTCATTTTAAACTAACAATAATTTTTTTTTATTTTAATTTTTTGATACCGTATTATTACTGTGGTATGCAACTGCAACCACATGTTCTGGACTTGGAAAATGTCTTGTCCATGTATGTAGGAATGTATTTGCTTTCGTCATTGTGCAGTGTCCTTGAGCTTGGGAAAGGCGCTATATAAATTAAACTTATTATTATTATTTATTATTATTAATAAATCAGGGATTCGAAAACATTGTTGACAGCCAAACCCCTTGGTCCTAACAGAATTTAATATTTCTATCATTTAACAACCTTAACGGTTCTCTAATGTTGGTTAATGGTCACATGACATGCAGGTACACAAATAAAATACTTTCACTTTTTGTTTAATTGTTTCAAATTACTTTTATTTTTAATATATTTAATTTTTTATTTTTTATTATTTATTTGATTTAATCATTTATTTACATTTTATTTTCAAATTATTTCTTTATTTATTTCTTTACTTTATATTTTGTGATTTACTTTGTTATAAACCATCATCTAACTCTCACTGTTTTCCATGCAGGGTCGAGTTCCTGAGACACATCCGAGACTTCTTTCAGATCATGTTCAAGATCGAGCAACAGAAACCCGGAGAAGATGAGCGGAAAGGAGGAGAGAAGGTCCTGATGACGTGTGTGGGAGCCGGATACAGCAACATCAGCAAAACCATCAAATAAAGACCTTAGGACCGAAGATTTTGTGTTATACTCAGTGTTTTTGTATTTTACAGTGGAATGATGACATTCCCATATTTTATCATAAAGAAGTGTCTGCTGAACATTGCTTTTGTACCACTTTGAGAGGCATTTTTGTGCTTCACAATGCATTTTCAGACGGAGGTGCGAGTAATAAACGCATGTGCCGTGTCTTTGCTGATCTCTGCGTTTCTCAGGTGTTTGATATTCTCTCTCCATTTCTGCATCTTTAACTCGCGCCTCAGTCCGTCCCACAGAGGTCTTATCTTTCTCCAGTCCACAATCCCATTTCAGTTCAGCGAACTACAACGACGGGGACATTTGCATGATGCATTCGCTTACAAAACACACCACTGCTGTTAAAGACTTCATGAAATCAGAACGGGAATTGTAAGGGTTTGACTCGTGTCGGTATTTTTGAGGTCAACTGCACTAGGGTTAGAACTAAAACTATACAAAACTGTTTGTTAATTGAAATAAACCTTAATAGAAATAAAAGCATGAAAAAAACATTTTATTTCAGCTAGTTGCCAAAGCAACATTTCTCCTTTTAATTTTAACTTGATGCACTAAAATAACTAAAACTGAAATAAAAATGTATATGTGTGTGTGTGTTTGTAACTAATAAAAATAAAAAAATAAATTACTAGCATTTTAAAATTAAATAAAAACTAAACTAAAAACAAAACGATATACAGTATATATATATAGAGAGAGAGAAATATAGATTTTTTTTATATATATATTTAGAACAATATTATCTCAATACTAAAATAAAACCTTGTTTTTTCTTCATTAATACACAAAAAAATTGCAAGAATATAGACTGAACAACAAAAGAAAATTGACTATTCAAGCTCTGGACAGCTAGTAATTATCTTTATATATATATATATATATAATTTTTTTTGTTTGTTTTAATGCAAATATTCTTTCTTACTATGTTATGCAATTTTCCATCAGAAAATGCAGCTGTATTTAAACACATTTCAGGTTTATCAGGGTTACTATTGCTTAACTAAAACTATTAAAATACTTTAAAAAAATAAAGCTGAAATAAAACAAATATTAGATGGGGAAAAAAGTAATGTTGCCTTGGAAACTAACTGAAATTAATTAAAATTGAAGCATAAAAATTACTAACTGGAAATATATACTAAAATAAAAATTTAATTCAGCAATTTGAAAAGAACAAACTAATTAAAATGACAAATGCACAAAACAAAATTACTAAAAAAAAATAAACTTTAAAACGAAACCTGAAAATGTAAAAATAAAAGCTATAATTTCATTAATATTAAAGCTATAATTTAATGTTAATCAATTTTAGTAAAAATGATAGTATTATTAAGTATTAGTTACTGAAATCGCACTGGTAGACAGAAAGTGAATGAGCTCGTATTGCTTGTGTTTTCTGTGAAACAGTGATTTGGCCTTTATTCTCTCAGAAAAGAGTTGCGCAAACGGCTAAATATTGACAGATGATCAGCAGTGATTTCTCTGAATGGAATAAAAGCCTTTAGTCATGCTGGAAACACATGCGAGGTCAAAGAATGAGGAAACTTTCTCCATCTAGAAGAATACTGTCTGAGAAATATTCGTTTCAGACGCTTCAGCTTTTCTGTGTTTGTGTGTTCTGTCTTTTCTTGCTTGGCTTCTTTGTTCCTTCTTCCTACGTTTCGTTTTCATCTCTTCTCTATCTGACAGCTCACTCATTCTACATTTGCAGTTTGGTCTTTCTTCTGACAGTGATTTGGCCTTTATTCTCTCAGAAAAGAGTTGCGCAAACGGCTAAATATTGACAGATGATCAGCAGTGATTTCTCTGAATGGAATAAAAGCCTTTAGTCATGCTGGAAACACATGTGAGGTCAAAGAATGAGGAAACTTTCTCCATCTAGAAGAATACTGTGAGAAATATTCGTTTCAGACGCTTCAGCTTTTCTGTGTTTGTGTGTTCTGTCTTTTCTTGCTTGGCTTCTTTGTTCCTTCTTCCTACGTTTCGTTTTCATCTCTTCTCTATCTGACAGCTCACTCATTCTACATTTGCAGTTTGGTCTTTCTTCTGACATGAAAGAGTAAATGACAAAGACACTGTAATGCCAACAAGTCTCTTCACCATTTAATGAAGTATAATATACATGATATATGTGTGTGTATATGTATATAAATACAAACACATGCATGTATATATTTAAGAAAAACATGTTATGTTTATATATTAAATACGTTTATATAAAATATAATTATATAAGCATGTAAATATTTAAAAAAAAATACTGTATGTGTGTATTTATATATACATAATAAATATACAGTACACACATATATTACGTAAACAAACTTATTTTGGATGCGATTAATCGATTTGACAGCTCTAATAGATAATATTCAGAACCAAAGAAAGTACATATAACTGCATTTAAAATGAAAAATAAATATTCATATATTTTATATATTATTACATTTGTATATAATATTACAAAAAATAAAAATATATATTTATTTAAAAATAAATAGATAAATATAAATGTATTTCTATTAAAATAAATATATATTTATTTAAAATTAAATATTCAGAGTAAAAAAAAAAGTACAAAAATCTAAAAGATTTGAATAAATTCAAAATAAAATAAATATGCATTTATTTACAATAAAAATAAAGTAACTAAAACTATTAAAATAATTTTAAAAAATAAAGCTGAAATAAAACAAATATTAGATGGAAAAAAAGTAATGTTGCCTAGGAAACTAACTGAAATAAAAATGAAGCATAAAAATTACTAACTGGAAATATATACTGTGTTGTAAATATGCCTGACAATATTGTTACACTGAATGACATTTTAGTGGGTGTCTTCTGTAAATCAGGGAAACATTTATGATATTTATTTTTTGCTCAGAAAAACAAAATTGCAATTAAATTAAATTAAATTTTTGGGAAAAACAACAACAATTTAAAGTAGTATTACACTTATTGTTTTTATGCTTAAACCCTTTTTTGTCTTTGACCCACGTGTACAAATTGGTATTAAATATGATCTGATTGCATGTTTTACCTCTGTCTTGAATCTCAAGCATCTCTGTCTTTTGGTCAGGAGTGATCTGCTGATGGTCTGCCGGCAGCTGAACATGGAGGATTCGGTGGCAGAGATCATGGGGCAGCTCGGCGCAGACGAGCGAGGAAACATCTCCTTCGAAGACTTCACACGCTGCCGCATGCAGCTGGTCAACGAGATCCGCAAGGAAGAAGGAGAGCTATTGCTGCTCTCCAGCGACTCGGAGAAGAGGACACCTCACGAGTGTGTGGCCTCCAGCAGCGAGAACAGTCTAGGTGTCTTATCTACCAGGAGGCTCCTGTCCAGATCTCTATGAAATATACACAGTCAAACCAAAATTGATTCAGACACCAGATATCATTTTTGGTGCAGGACACTATAGTTCATTTATGTAAGTGAGGATAGCAAAATAAAGTAAACTGTGACATATTATACCCACAAAGTCTACCAGTAAAACTGATAAAAATTTGGGACCAAAATGATTCAGACACTTTGAGCTGAGCATGTTTTGCTGAAGTGTTTTTTCTTTAATTGCTAATGTGATCTTTTTACACCACAGACTGAACAGAATGAAGCACTGCTTGGTAATTGGTTGAGCTAAATTGCATATTGTGTTCTTAAATTTAACAGCTGACAACAGAATTCATTACAGTTTAACTCTGAGTTCTTCTCATATTTTATATATATAATGTATATAAATGTCATATAATGTGAGAAATATTGAAGGTGTCTGAATAAATTTTGGTTTGACTGTATATATTAATTAATCATTGTCTTTCAGGGAAATTGCCTTGCATGTTATGTACTTTAAAAAGGACCATTTTTGTGTGTAACAAATTAGTATACACTTTTTTTAGAAGCATTAATGGACAAACAGACATTTTTGTATTAAAAAAATCACACATTTTTATTAGCAATAATGGGGAAATATATTGAGTGCTACAGTTAAAAAATGTTTAAATTACAAACCATGCCTTTTTAGTAGCAATAATGGACAAACATGTGGTGTGCAAGAGTATCATTTTTACCTTCAAAATCACAATTTGTTAGCAATAATGGACAAAAATATAGGGTGGAATGGTATAATTTTTGTATTAAAAATCACCATTCGTATTAGCAATAATTGGCAGAAAATCTAAAGTGCAACAGTATATTTTAAATTAAAAATCACACATTTTATTAGTATTAATGGACAAAAATATAGAGTGCAACAGTAGAATTTTTGTATTAAAAATCAGTTCCATATGCAAATAACAATTATTTTAAAGACAGACCTACTATGAGCTCTGAGGTTGTTAATTGATGGTTTATGCTTTTATTGAAGCTAGTTTTTTGTTCTTTAAATAATCATATTTAATAGAAGAATTCCTGGCCAAAAATAAAAATAAATAGATTACCCATGATTTTGGCATAATAGATTCAATCTCCCTGCACTCTCAAAATACTAAAATATTTTTATATTTATTTGCCCATTTTACAGTAAGCAATATATATATATATATATGTATAATATACTGTTTTCTATATACATCATCAACAATTTTAAATTGACAGTTTTATATTCCTCCATAATTTTTTGTCATTTGCAATGGTTCATGGGATTGTACTTCTTTCCATAATTAAGTTCACAGACTTGAATTTTTGTCCTTTTTTTTTTCAAATACTTGGTTCATGGGATTGTACTTCTTTCCATAATTAAGTTCACAGACTTGTATTTTTGTCCTTTTTTTTCAAATACTTTTTTGCTTTTGATTTGGTCTGTGGCTCTTTAACAAAGACTTTTTTTTTTTTTTAGAAATTGGGTAAACATCCCATATATACACTATCGGTCAAAAGTTTGGGATCAGAACAGTTTTTAATGTTTTTACAGGAGTCTCTTCTGCTCATCAAGGCTGCATTTATTTGATCAAAAATACAGGGAAAAAATTTTATATTGTGAAATATTATTATGATTTCAGTGGTGTGACTGTGTACATCAGAGGTACGATCAGGTCACACAGTATAATCAAGTTTAAGACTTTTAGTGTTTTTAAAAGAAGTCTCCTCTGCTCAGCAAGGCTGTATTTATTTGATCAAAAACACAATAAAAATTCGAAATATTATTGCAATTTAAAATAACAATTTTCTATGTGTATATTTGTTAAGCTGTAATTTATTTATGTGATGCGCAGCTGTATTTTCAGCATCATTCCTCCAGTCTTCAGTGTCACATGATCTTCAGAAATCATTCTAATATGCTGATTTATTATCACTGATTTATTAAACTGTTGTGCTGCTTAATATTTTTTTGGAACCTGTGATACTGTGATTCTTTGATGAATAAAAATTTAAAAAGAAGAGCATTTATTTAAAATATAAATATTTTCTAACAATATACACTACAGTTCAAAAGTTTGGGGTCAGTACATTTTTATTCTTTTTTTTTTTTTTGAAAGAAATTCAAACTTTTATTCAGCAAGGACGTGTTAAATTGATAAGAAGTGATAGCAAAGATTTATATTGTTAGAAAAGATTTATATTTTGAATAAATGCTGTTCTTTTTAACTTTTCATTCATCAGAGAATCCTGAAAAAGTATCACAGTTTCCAAATAAATATTTGGCAGCACAACTGTTGATAATTCTAATAATAAATCAGCATATTAGAATGATTTCTGAAGATCATGTGACACTTTATACTGGAGTAATGATGATGGAAATTCAGCTTTGAATCACAGAAATAAATTATATTTTAAAGGATATTCAAATAGAAACCATTATTTTATATTGTAATAACATTTTGCAAGATTACTGTTTTTTTCTGTATTTTTGATCAAATAAATGCAGCCTTGATGAGGCTTCTTTAAAACACATTACAAGTCTCCAAACTTTTGAGCGGTAGTGTATATTCTGTGTTAATTCAATCTGTGGTGTTTGTTTGTTCACGCAGGCGCTCGTGAGAGCTGGGAGTTTGATTCTGGAGCTCAAGACCTGCGGTCTCCGACACAAACACATGCTCCGCAGCAGAGCTCCGCGTTACTCCAGAAACTCCTGGATCAGCCCAGCATTCTGGAGCCTTCGGCTGGACTTCACAAGCTCCTGTCCCAGCATCCCAGCTGCCTGGAACTGGCCAATACTGTGAGTCTGACCGCTGTTTAACAGCTGCCTTTGATTAGAACTGGCAAGAATCAATTGATTTCATGTGGTTACTGCATTATAGTGATGAACTGCTGGGAATCTTGGTGCGATGCAAGTTTGATGGATCGCATGTTTGTTATTCAACCCCTTTGTTTTAACCGTGCGTGATTCAACAAATGCTCAGCGTCCAGTGACATTATTTTCATAACATTTAACCTATATATTGTAATTATGGTACATATTGTCAGTGCTGATTCTCAGTGGATTTTCATTATGGCAACATTAATAATAATAATAATAATATTATAAATAACCATTAAAGTAACTTTAAAAAATGCTTCTTTTTTTTTTTTTTTAAATTAACCTTTGAGTAGTATTTCTTGTACTGCATTTAATTTTTGCTGCTTTCTTTGAAAACCATTGCATTAAGGACTTTTTACAGAAAGATATAAAACTGCACACTCACTTATAGGTTTATTTTTATCAGCTTTTCGGCAGAAGGTCAGGGTGCGTTCGCATTAATGCTTCATTACAGAATTTATAAAAATACTTTATTACAGTAGTGAGAAAATGATAAGCATCATTGAGATTATTGAGAATGGTCATTAAATTAGGCTAAACATATTACATCTTTTTAATTTCTTTTGTTTGATTTTTGGGGCAAAAATGTATGAGAGCCTATTTCCACCAAATGAAAAGAAAATCATGTGTAAGTTAAAAGTCGAAATGATGACAGTTGAAATTTTGAGATAAAGCAAAAACTAATATTTAATTCATAGTTATTAATCGCATCCAAAATAAAAGTTTTTATTTACATAATATATGTGTGTGTGCTGTGTATATATATTATGTTTATATAAATACAAACACATGCATGTATATATTTAAGAAAAATTTTATATTTATTAACTATATTTATGTATAATATAAATTATAATAATATAGATATATAAATGTATATACATGTAAATATTTTCCAAATATATACTGAATGTGTGTGTGTGTATTTATATATACATAATACATAAACACAGCACACATACATATATTATGTAAACAAAAACTTATTTTAGATGCGATTAATCATTTGACAGCACTAATATTTATTTCAGAATTTTTAAATGAACTTTTTTTTAATCATAATTATGACTGTGAGATTATTTAGATGCGATTAATCATTTGACAGCACTAATATTTATTTCAGAATTTTTAAATGAACTTTTTTTTTATCATAATTATGACTGTGAGATTATCGGAATTCATAACAAGTCATAATTTAATTTTTTCGCCTCAGTTTCAATTTAGTATGTCATAATTTCAACTTTGGATCTCATTTATGAATTAGTATCTCGTAATTTTGACTTAACAGAGCATATTTTTTTCTTATGTGGTGGAAATGTGACCTTTACTTGTTTTTGTGAGCTTTACTCATAAAGAGCGAAACACTGATCTGAAGAACTGAATATGAAAGATGAATCTCCAGAAACCGTTGAAGCTCGATGCAGTGTGTTAGTGAGTCTGTATGTGGCGCTGTGAGGTTATTACTCATGAATGCGAGCACTGCTGATTCTGTCCCGCAGTGTGTCTATTTCAGTGGTTTCACGGCTTTCTTTGGTCTTTTTTTCACTGAAGGCAGTTTAATTTCCTGATGAGATCTTTTAACATCTGATTTGAAGGCATGAGGGTCATAAAGATGAGTTGAATATCTGATGTTGTTTGGCCTAAGAGTGCTTGAAGTCATAAATGAAGATGAATGAAGTGCTAGTGGTAACATCTGCTCATCAGTGCTCTCTTGTTCAGCGTCTGCTGCTTTGGACTGCAAGTGAAAAACGTGCGACTGCTGTTTGTTTTGATCCAAAGTTATATTTTGTGTAAAGCCATTGAGATTGATTGCAATGTATATTTTTATAACAATTAAGCACATTTGCCCTCTATATTATCATTACTGTTCACATGTTTTTCTTCTGAGATTTTATGTAGTTCTCATCATTCTCTGTGATGATTCTCAATTTTTCATTGCAGCAACAAAATGTTTTCATTAATTACATTTTTTATTATTATTATTATTATTATTATTAATACTACTACTACTACTAATACGGTTTCTTATGCATGTTTTATATTTATGTTCATTATTAAATGTTAATAATAAAATCAGTAAATCAATATTTTATGAATAACATTTATAAATGAGAAACACTCTGGGCTGCTCTGCTCTGACATATGGCATGTATTAGTGTAGGTGACGTCAGAGAGCGCGTGTGTTTATAGTGATGCAGGAATGTGTTTGGTGTCATGTGATGTTTTAACAGCTCCGCTCTGCTGATGTACAGCCGTTATACAGCCGATCCGGTTACCGCAGTAAAGCTGTACCGAATCATTAGAGAGGACATCACCAGCGTGTTGCACCTCTGTTTGACTCTTTACATGCTTCTGCAGGTTTATTTGTACTTCTCTGCTTTTAGAAGACCATTTTAGCTGTTTTTATGTGTGGATGTTGTATTTCAGAAGCAGTGCTTTGGGATTTTCTGCTGCTCAGTGTTGTTTTATTTCTTTATTATTAAGACGAACTCTGGTCAACTGCCTGTTTAGCACAGAAATAATGTCCGTTATGAGTTTGTGAAGGATTGCAGTGATGTTTTGTTGAGGTTGCATTCATGCTGTTTTTTGCTGTAGTTTACCTTGCAACTTTACAGATCTTCTTTATGCACCAAGAGAAAGGAAAAATTGAAATCGCATCATATGACCCCTTTAATAACAAATGTTGCATATCTAGAGAACATAATGCTGATGTGTGTATAAACACACCACTATTCAGAATCTGCTAATATTAAGACATTTGTGTTTTAGAAAGAAACTGACATGTTTATTCACCTCGGATGCATTAAATATATTAAAATATTACTGAAAAGAGTAAAGACATTTATTGTACAGGTTATTTTGGGGAAAAAAGTGTATTCAAAATATATTTATTAAAATATTTTTGACTTTTTTTTTTTTTTTTGGAAATGTATTTTAAAAATATAAATGTATTTTTTAAAAGCATAAAAACATCCCTTATTCTTTTTAATTATATATATATATATATATATATATTTAATTATCTTCCCTATGTTATTTCCCAAATTATTTCAATTTGAGAAAATACATTCACATACATCACTTTTGAACATAATCTTTATTTGTTACTTCTATGAACATATAAGTCATTTGAATAAAAATCAGCAAGAAATATGCTTTATAATGCTTCAAAAACATTACAAAATATAAAAGTGAAGCATTATTCAATTATTAGAAATCTATTTTTGATCTCTGTTAGGCTATTTTTTCATCACATTTGCATTTATATATTTATATGATAAATATATATGATATATTTAATGTATGATATGATATATTTTCAGTAGGCTCCCTGAAATAAATTTTCAAATATACTTTGGTATATGAAGGTTGAAACTAAATATATTTTCAATTGCAAAAATATATTCCATTGAGCTCCACTTTTTGCAACATTTATTTAGCGTACATTTAAAAAATATATTTTGGCCAAAAAAAAAAAAAAGTTTTATGGGCTGATTTGAAACAATGTGTAAATGTGTACTGTGTGCTATACAAGTACATTTGGGGAAAAAATATTCAGATGAAAAAGAAAACTGCATTTTATAGTGTTTATGAATAGAAAACAGCAATCATTTATAGTATTAATGTTTTTGGTTGTGTTTTTATTAATTAAATGTGTAATTTTTGACCAGAATGATGAACTTCTTTATAAAAATGTCTTCGTGTTTCCAGTCTTTTGAGTGGTGCATTATTGTTATTATTTTTAGTTTTCTTTGATTTTTCCTGCTGGTGGCTCAGAAATGACACATATATTTGCTTTAGGTGAGGACAGAAAACTGCTCATTTTCATATAGTGCTAGTTTGTCTCATTTGGTTCTGTAGCCTCATTATATATTGAGTTTGCCGCAGGTTGACCGTCTCCCTCACCTTCATGTCCTTCAGATGCAGTTGTGCTGCTTCAAGCAGTTTTTCTTCAGCCGTTGTGAACGCTGCTCGTTTAAAAGGCCAGACGTGTGTTTTATCCTTTAGAGGACAGATGAAAAGATGAAAGCAATGATAAATGTGAATACTGTTTCCTCTCCTGCCCTCGGAAACACACTCACACTCACACACGCACGCATTATTGTCAGTAATATTGATATTGAGCAAGTGTAGTATATGAGATGCTGACAGGGTTCAGTACGTTCATGAATTATTCATCAGAGTATTTTTGCATTTGGTTTCTCTTTTCTTCTCTCTAGCAGGGAATTTGGTTTTCAAAACCAAAAATATCAGACCTGGAGTGTGTTTGTGTGTGTTATAGCCGTGAGATGATGTGCATGAATGTGAACGCTGTCGTAATGGATCTGGAGTGTGTTTTGGGAGCAGTTTTAAGTCGCTGGGGTATATTTGTAGCAATAGCCAACAATACATTGTATGGGTCAAAATTATCAATTTTTCTTTTATGCCAAAAATCATTAGGATATTAAGTAAAGATCATGTTCCATGAAGATATTTTGTAAATTTGCTACCGTAAATATCAAAACTTAGTAGTAATATGCATTGCTAAGAACTTAATTTGGACAACTTTAAAGGTGATTTTCTCAATATTTAGATTTTTTTGCACCCTCAGATTCCAGATTTTCAAATAGTTGTATCTCGGCCAAATATTGTCCTATCCTAACAAAGCATACATCAATGGAAGATTATTTATTCAGCTTTCATATGATGCATAAATCTCAATTTCGAAAAATTGACCCTTATGACTGGTTTTGTGCTCCAGGGTCACAAATGATGACAAAACTTAGATTTTGGGGTGAAATGATCCACCTTACATCTTCACTAGAGGGAGCTGTTGAATTCATTATATAACACTGGCACGTTTAACATCAATATTACTCTATAAGACTCTTTTTACCCATATAAACTCAACCCCATCTCAGTCTTGACGTGTAAATCCA